CACCTCTGCTAAATGATCCAAGTTGTTGGTATTTCTCCTCAAGATATACGCGGCTGTAGACAACTGACCAAAATGACATAGAAATTAGAAATTGTTGCCGTCTATGGTGAGGCCTGTGTGGATCACTCTTGTAGGGGAAGGTGGAGCAGGGAGGTGAAAAAGGAAGTGGAGGAGGAAGATAGAGGTGGTAAGAGGAGGAGGAGGAGGAGGAAGTGAAAGGTTGAATATGTAGGAGAATGACCAACATAATACCAGGAAAAGAAAGAGAGAGAGAGACCCACACCACCATGCCAGCAAGTTTACAAATTTCACGGGGTTGGATCCATCGTCTCCCTCACCAGATAAACAACAATCATGGCTCCTGCGGCTCTTACTTCTCGTAATTCTCAAGTGTGTCGCTCCTCACAGCCACGACCTAACTGGCCTGTGGAACGAATAGGATAATGGACACCCACAGCAGGAGTCCTCAGATGGCGTAGGATCTTACGCTGGGGCCTCTTACAGTCTCGTAGGAACCAGAGGATGCTGGCGTGTAAAGATGAGTGTTACAGGTTCTTATTTGAGCTGTTTGATGTTATCTGGGGTGTCTGTATGTATGTATGTATGTATGTATGTATGTATGTATGTATGTATGTATGTATGTATGTATGTATGTATGTATGTATGTATGTATGTATGTATGTATGGATGTATGTATGTGTCTGTCTGTGTTTCTGATCTTATAGTGTATATGTCAATATGAGTGTGAGTCAATATTCATAAATACAGGAGATCATTTTGGTGGCCAGCCAGTGTGTCATACTTCAAAGGCCTGGGAACGGACGGTAGTGTGGACGCTGTAGCTAAGGACGGACGCACTGGCCACGAACGAACGGACGGACACTGACACACACACTCACACACACACACACATACACACACACACACACACACACACACACACCCACACACACACACACAAAGCACTAAAATAAAGCCAAATAAATTGATAAATATTTTGAAATATAATCCACACATAAATGCCTCTAACACGCTCTCTCTGAACAGATTTACATAAAGCAAACATTTATCAGCGTTACACCTTCATAGAAATAAACATTTACCAAGGCTAGTAACCTCCAGACATCATTTTAATAAATATTAGTCATAACTTTGCCTCAGTGATACATCCATTATAATTATTCCAGTCTACCAGCTTAAGTGAATTATGGTGGAGGCGGCTGGTGGTCCACATGCGTTAATTATCACGTCTATGATAAGGTCAGATTTGCATCTTTATTCCATCATTCATCGTCATTTTGTAAGATTTGATTCTAACAGTTGAACAAGATTCTCGGGAAGTTTGCCATGGCGACCTTAGTGGTACAGTATCTGAGACCAGGTGTATTGCTGTGTAAAGATGTTATTGTTATTATTATTAGCAGCAGTGGGTCTAGGAAACAGTTCAGATACAAAACACTATAGTAGACCAAACCTTTTTATTCCGGTACTGTACTCGACCGTATTTGTTTACTCAGTTGTAAAGTTAGGTACCCATTCACAGCTAAGTGAAAAACGAGTACCCTGGGCACGAACCAACGACCAACGTAACAAGATACGAGTACTTTATCCACTCAGCTACCAGTCATGATAGTTTAATAAGGCAATACCTCTCATACTAGTTCGATAAAACAGTCCATTTCTCATGACATCTCGTAAAACTTGACAATTCATTAAAAACGAATCATTGGTCAGAAGAATTATTTAACACTCCAGAAAAGTATCTCTTAAATTTGTGAACTCAGTAAATACAAGTTCTGAAACCTTGAATTTTATATAAGTAGCTTTAAGACTTTGAACACTTAATTTTAGACCATCTTGCACCATCAAATCGCCAAGCTTGAAGTCTGAATATCGACCACCTTGCACCATCAAGTCTCCAAGCTTAAACACTGAATTTTCGACCATCTTGCACCATCACATTTCCAAGCTTGAACTCTGAATTTTCGACCCCATTACTTCATAAAGTCTTTTGGATTTAAAATTTTAATTCCACTGCTTCAAACTTGATCTGTTAATCAACATTATAACTGCATGACTTTTGCATTCACGCCATGGACCTCCAGGTACTAAATAAATATACCTTCTCTCTCCTGCTTTCAACTTTCTCTTTTTTCTTTCTTTTGCTTCCTTCTTTATCCATTTTCTTTTGTTTTCTTTCAATAATTTTCTTCTTGTTTCTTCTTTTCCTTATGTATCGTGTTCCTCTTTCCATGCGTTTCTTTTTTTTAACTTCCAACTTCTACCCTTTCTTCTTTCTTGCTTTTCCTACTTTCTATTTCCTCCTCCCCTTTATTCTCTCTTCTCCCCCCCCCCTTACATCTTTTTTCTCCCTTCTTGCATCACCTTGATCTCTCTTTTTTTTCATTTTTGGTTTCATTCTTTCGTCCTCCTCTTATTTTTTCTTTCTACTCCTTTCTACTTCTTTCTTTCATTTTCCATCTTCCTGCTCCTTCATCCCTCCTCCTCCCTTCTTCATCTCCTTAGCAATTATCCGTTTCCTATCTACAAGTTACCCGATTCTATGTTATTCCCTCAACTTGTGATACAGAAGTTAATTAATGGGAAGGTAATAAAACTGAAATATTATCCCCGTGGAAATGGTTGATATCCAGTGTATGTGTGTGTGTGTGTGTGTGTGTGTGTGTGTGTGTGTGTGTGTGTGTGACCCATGATGTGAGACCATTTTCTTTACCTAAGCTACAATACAAAATGGCGTCAAAATTACACCAAGACTCCCATGCTGAGATATATCTCCATATACTTCCACCTCCAGCAAGGATAACCAACATAGAGTAAGACTTGAGAGCTTGTTAGAACCTATTGAATTATAAATATACGTATGCAAATGAGCTCATATACTTATACAGACTGGCTTTAAAAAAAAAAGAAAATCGGGGAATGGGTACAATTTGACGCGTATTTTATTGGTGTACAGTAAACACGGTCTTATATACAGTTTACTTTTAGTTTAACTCACACGTGCTATACAGACTGAAGACTATGGTTATTACACAGGCAGATGGTGGATAGCCAAACAAACTCACACTCAGACCAACCACACACAAACATATACACATCATATAGGCACGCCTTTAACACTCCTTAGAACACACACACACACACACACACACACACACACACACACACACACACACACACACACACACACACACACACACACACACACACACACACACACACACACACACACACACACACACACACACACACCTTGCCTCCCCATTAACTGATAAAAACTTCATATTAACTTTAACAACTCCTTAAGTAAAAAAAAAATAAAACATAAACAAAAACATATAATAATAAATACTAGAACCGGTTTTCATGAATGGTGGATAAAATAGGAGTTTGGTAAGTTTAGCTACAAGACACCACCAGATTGTTGGCTGATCAGGCTGGGTGTGAGCAGAGGTAACAACATCTATCACCCCACACTAAAAACCATTTGACCTTTTCTATGACTTCTTGGGTCAAGTGAAAGGTAATTATGACCACCTCGATAACCTCTCTCCTCCTCCTTAACTCTATCATCCGTCTGTATGATACCTCAACCACACCCCCTACCCACCTATCCATCTCACCACCTATCCACCTCCCCACCTATCACTCCACCACCTAACCACTTCCCCACCTCACCACCTACCCACCTAACCACCCCACCACTTATCCACTTTGTTTATACAACTGCATTTTATGTGTGTTACTGATAACAGAACACCAGCGGCAAGTCTCAAACACCAACATAATATTATACAAAACCTTCATTTTTTGTCATAACTTTTGGGTATCAAGTCAAAAACTATCACAATATTAAAAGCTACACAGATCTTCACTATGATATTTTTGTCTACTTCTATTAACAGACGCCATGTTAGTAGATGTATTATATATATGGTATAAATTGTTATAGTTGTACAGGTCAGAGGTCAGAGGTCACAGGTCAGAAATTATGGGGGGAGAGAAAAATTGTAATTGCTCATGAATGTCGACGTTTCTAATTTATCTATTAATCTATCTCATTTATACTGATTGTTCCGTTATCGACCTGCAGTCATAAACACGTTCACCTGCATATGCTCATAAGGTCTTACACACACACACACACACACACACACACACACACACACACACACCACTTAGAGCCACATAAATTATGACTCACCTGTGATAATTAACCTGACTCTACTTAACCTAATCTTCCATACGAACACGACAGACCCCAGAACTAAACTAACTCCGCCCCTAAGGCCCAAATAAAGGACTATTTCTCAACTAATTACTGAGCTGTGTGTTGACGAGGAGCGCCAGCAGGATAATCAAAGCATAAAATTCTCAAGACTCAGGTGAAGTAGCTGACCACGCCCTTCCTTCCCTCATTAACAGCTCTCAAGGCACTTTACGGCTCCCTGTTAAATTGGACTTTATAGTTTTGTGAATGGCAGACGACGCCTTTTATTAATACCTGCCACCGGTTACTGGTTTTATTATTTATGATTTGTTCATTATGTGAGGGACTTGATTACTCGTCCCGTTTATGAGTGGATGATGAGTCTTTGTAGGACTGATGAGTCTTTGTGGGACTGATGAGTCTATGTAGGACTGATGAGTCTATGTAGGACTGATGAGTCTATGATAGTTACACTTAAGAACTGATCAAACCTGAGAATATTTTTGGTCACTTCACGGTATAACAAATTCTTAACTGATGTTTAATTTTTGGTGAGGTTTAAGACCAAATGGAATAAATATTATTTCTTTAGAAGAGTATGTCCCCTTCCCCCTTTCCTCCCCCCCCCCTTCTCCTTCCTTCTCCACCTTTCCCCTTCCTCTCCTCCACCTCCCCCCTTTTCCCTCCTTCTCCACCTCCTCCTCTCCCACCATAACAAAGCCCAAAGGGACATAACTCAGGTCAATGATAACATACAGGTATTACTAACCTTGTCATAGTTCCTTGTTATGATGTATCACTTTATCACCCCTTGTCAGACCATCACTCTTAGTTGTTAGTTGTGTTCACTTAATCCTGGTTGCACGGACGGACAGACGGACGGATGGATGCAGGGAGAGTCGGGCGGACACAAGCATTTCCTGTGTCTCTCTCCTGAAACAACGGGGAAAAAATGAGGTTATTGAACTGAAGGAAAATTAGAATAACGATATCGATTTGAGCCACAACAACAACAATGCTTAACTAATATAACCCAATCATATTACTATATTAGGTGCATATTATAAAGTTTATTACCCTCACTTTACGGGAGACAAGCACCTCACTCTGGGCTGATGTGTGGGAATGTCTCACTAACTTGATGTCTTAGGAGAAGTAACACGATACATTCCTTTATAAAATACTTGTAGAATTTTTTTATTATCCACGACACACACACACACACACACACACACACACACACACACACACAAGTACCTCTCGCACAACCTCAGCACTTCGCCGCCTTATGGACACTAAATACATTTCTTATAACACCCCATTTCCTGCTATTTTCCTGTCCCATTATCAATTCCTCATCTATTCCATCATCATCACCGCCTATCCTCCGTCATATTTCGTCTACTGTACTTTTCTCTCATCTCTTGCCTCACATCTTCCTCACCAGTAAGGTAGAGGGAATTTTCCTTCTTCCTTCGTCATATTTTTAGGTATTTCCGGTACCTCACTTTCAACAGGATTCCTGAGATTGTATGAACGTGTTGGTATTAAGGGTGTGGTTACCAACTTACCATGAGGGGGGGAGGGGAATTAGGTCAGAGTGCCGGGTAACTGTACGAGGTGACCATGGTCCAAATAGAAATGAGGCCTCCAGTTCTAATGGGCCCTAGTTGTAATGGCCCATTGCGTTAATCGACCCCAGTTATAAGAGACCCCAGTTATAATGATATCCAATCCACGATCATAATAGGTTTTAAATCTAATGGGCCCAACTTTTAATGGATTGGTTAATCTAGTGTAGTCCTGAGTCAATTAGTCCTGTGAACTATTTAACGTAATTTAAAGGGATAAACTATCTAATATTATCACGTATTAATACAAATATTGGGCGTCTCTGTGTCTGGAATTACATTAACTCAAGTTGTTGTGGATTGTAATGATTGTTATCAGTATAAGATGACCTTTGGAGCTTTTAAGAACACAGCTCTCTTGGCCTTTTCAGAAACAGTGACTGGTCAAATGGGCCCCCAGTCCTGATAGGTTAGTATAGATTAAAAATTGAGCCCCCAGTCCATATGGGTCGAAGTGAATCCCAGTCATAATGGGGTGTAATGGGTCCCAATTATAATGATCCTTGAGCATAATGATCCCCAAACATAATAGGTCCTAATTGAAATGGGTTCCATGTATAGTATACCCTAATGGGCTCTAATCACAATAAGACTCGACCCACAACCACAATCCCCATATCATAAAACCTAATCATTATGGGTCCGAATCCTAATGGGAAGATTGGGTTTTATTAGCAATGAGATCCAATAATTCTCCCATCATCAGAGGTATATTGGACACAGGAGAGTGCCAATTATTACAATGGACTATCGTAGCTGTTATTAATGATGTTATCTAGAGGAGCGTCACGGTATACAGGTACTGTTAAAGTCTGTATTCCGACGTTCAATAGTCATGACATTCATTGGTAACCTAACCTCACCTAACGTAACGTAACGCAACCTAACCTAAACTAAACTAACATAAACCTAAACTAACCTAACCTTACTCGTGTTAAACTAACCTGTATTTAACTAACTTAACCTAAACAAATTTGACCTAACCAAAACTGACATAACCTAATGTAACTTAAGCTAAATTGATCTAACTAAACTTAATTCAAACTATTTTAACCTAACCTAACCTAACCTAACCTTCGGATCACTAAATCACCTGAGCATAGGGTAGTTATAAGCTTAAAAGCGGAATATTTTAGTGCCTATGTACTGTATATAAACGTTCTGCATCACCTAACTTAAATGATAAATCTCCTGTCGTATTAAATTGACTTCCAGATACATTATTCCTTCACTGAACACCAACGCTAAGGTTGTATTCCGGAGTTCTTATCAATGGTAATATTCGAGGCAGAGAGATTCAGTAATTAACAGCAGGACTGACCCACAGACTCACCAGGGGACATGTCTAAAGTTCACGCGAGGAACAGGACGTTTCTCATGGAGTAATGAAGCCGTTTGGTGTAATGAACGAGGAGGTTCATTTCTCTGTGTCATAACTGGGGTACGGATTCACTGAGGTTTCTTCTGAGTGTTGCTAAGAAATGAATCTAGTTCAGGTTAAGTCTCAATAAAGTTTCGATACTATGTTGGATACTGTATTTATACCTTAAATCATAGCAGTTATACACGTTTTTACAATCCAGTTACGGGAAAAAAATAAAATCTTGTGTTGCTCTGAAAAATCTGATCTGAGATTCGGAAATGGTTCACAAGGTTCATGAAACAGGTCACATTATCTCACCTGTACCACTTGGATCTCGGGTGGGGGGGGGGGTTATTTTGGGACGATGATGGTGGTTATATTGTGACATATTCTGAGAGATAAAGAGAAACACAGGAAGAAAATAGTTAGAACATTGGGAGACGACATCTATATACAGTTGAAAAAACCAAGACAACGACTCGAGGTAGTACAGTCACCCAAAAAAAATCCTGTAGCGAACCATGAACCCCGAGATTCAGACTCTTGAACCCTAAGCATTATGGACAAAATAATGTATCAGTGTCCACCGCTTCGGGTTCATGAATCTGAATCGTGGTTCGCGACAGGACTTTTTTGGGTGACTGTAACATCAAACACAAGAGCTTAGAAAATATTATATATAAGTAACAATAAAGTAACATACACACATTCTAACTGATACAACGAACACTTGTATAGTTACGGATAAAAGTTCGTTGACACTACTGTTCGAAGTTGAATCAAACGGAAATTAAATATTTACAGCGATATTTAAAAGTAAACAAACATTTCTGAGACTGTCTAGCAAATCGGAGTCTCAGGCTTTGGTTAGGTTCTGGGTGTCACTGTTGTACTCAGAACGTTCAGGATCTGAGTGGAGGCTTTTCTGAGTATCTGGTGTTGTGAGTGGTTGGAGTTCTGAGTGCTAGGTGTTCTGAATGACAGGTGTTCTGAGTGACGTTGCACAAGAGTATCCTGAGTCAATGAAATAAAGTCGGAGGTCTGATAGGTGGCTGTCACACACACACACACACACACACACTATACATACATATTCACTGTATATCATATACGCAAAAACATGTGTACATAGATTTTCCTAAGATATTCAGTGATTTAATTATTATTGGATATTAAGAAGAATTAACCCTATAAGTCATAAGTATTATCTCTGATGTGGACCAACAACACACGCTGTCTCCTCAGAGCTCGACACTAAATAAATTCAACGTTATTCAGTATTTAATAGTTAATATGAACGAATCTTTTCCTTACGAACATAAAATGTGGGGCAGATTATTTTTTTTGCGCTTGTCTGTACGTGCTTGTCCGGAATAAAGATATTTAATTGGCACCTCACCATTTAACGGGGCCAGTGGCCTTTTGGAAAGAGCATTCAACCAACACCCTCGTGGTCGCATTCGACGTGGGATGGGGCCACCCATCTCCTGCTCCTTTTCCGTCGCAGACTTTGATACATTTATCAAAATTACATTTTTCCAACATTTTCCTCTATAAAAAACATACGCCTTATTATAATCCCAATTTCATACATGTCTGAGTGAGCGATATACCTTTTTTTTCAAATTTCTTCCGTTACACGCGGAGGCTCAGACTAGAAAGTTGATTGGCTACTTCCAGTGTGTCGAGGCAGGAGTCTCCGCCCACGAGAACACGACAGCCAATCAGCTTTCAGATCGGACGGCTGGCTCAACGTTACGTCTTGCTGGATTAAGCGGCTGGGAGGCTTCCTGGCCTGTCACTTTCCATCACGCCATCAGAAGCACCGCTGGTGTCGACGTGTCAAGACCTCCATAAAAAGTCGATTTATAAGAATGAAAATAGAAGCATACGTATATCAACACATGCAACAATAAATCGGTTATGTTGTTTTGTCTTAGACGAATATATATATATATTTACATGAACACCAACGGTAAAAATTCTTATGGAGTTAATGCAGTGATCTACCTTTTTTTTTAATCTTAAATCTTCATTTCTTAGATCTAGGGGTCAGGGACGATTATGACGTCATTACACTATCACCACACCACACCCTCATCACACACCACACCCTCACCACACACCACACCCTCACCACACCACACCCTCATCGCACACCACACCCTCACCACACCACACCCTCATCACACACCACACCCTCACCACACCACACCCTCACCCTCACAAAGAATATAACCCCTTGAGTAGGATGACACTACACAAGCGGTTAAGTCATAGTATTCATGGGGTTAACTTCTCTGTTTACTTCACAACTCACAGGAAGTTAACCCCTTCAGCCAAAACTAATCCAGATGACCCTTATTATAGTGTAAATGATCCAGATTGATAATAATTTTGGTTGATATAAATCCAGATTATAATAATTTCAGCGTAAATAACTCCAAATAACAATCATTATTATGTAAGTTAAACCAAATTTTACAATCATTTCAGAGTATATGAATTAAGATTTACATTGATTACGGCATAATATAAATCCTGATTATATTCGCTTCAGTATATATAAATCCAGATTAAAATCATTTCACCATTATATAAATCCAAGATTACGATCATTCAAGAGTAAACTGAATTCAAATTTACAATCACTTTGGTGTAAATGAATCCAGATTTTAAAATCATTTCACCTCAACCTGAGAATAAATTTCGAAACGTACGGAGCGAGAGAGAAAAATAGTGTTTTTTTTTACAGGAATTATTATGTCCGTACACTCAGCAGCAGGCGTGTCCAGCTACGGTGGTGAGAGGGGCGTCGGTAGAGAAAGAGGAGGATAAGGAGAAGGAGAAAAGGCAACCGAGGAGGAGGAGTCAACTCGGACACACACATCTTACTCCTCCCACCTTCACTACGTGTCCATTATCTACCAACATCATGA